CGTTAACCTTTACTCACAGATAGCTGAGCTGTATGACATTTTTCCACTGTTTTAGCCCTAAAACATTCATATAATTATTTATTCTCTCTCTCTTCTTTTCCCCAGACAAGGCAGCTCCTAAGAAGCTGCTATTAAACCCTTTCAGAGGCCTGGAAGAGTTGGAGTCGGAGGCCGTGGAAATCTTCATTTAAAGAACTGAGAAGTGGATTTTAAATGAGGAAAAAAAAAAAAAACAATTCTGAGAATCTGTGAAGAGTGCAAGTATTTGAATAGCGAATGGAAGAAAATATTGGATGCAAGAATGTTGTGGAAAGAGGCCAAAGCACGGGGAAAAAAAGGACTGTTTTCACATTTTAGAGACAGAGCTGTGCTCCGACTCACTTACTCTCACTAAGCTGGGCAGCTGCAGGCAGTCGGCCTGGCTGGGTGAGAAAAGATGAATCCTCCGAGGTACTTGGACAGTATTGTGGATTGTAATAGGGCAACATGTTCTCAGAGAGTGTATGCCAAAATATTTATATAAATATATATATAATTGCTGCTCCCCCTCTCATTTATCCCTCCCCTTTATCTCTTTCCCCAATCCAGTGAATTAAGAAGCTACATATTTATCTTATCTGGTTTCCACATTCCCCAAATATTAACTTAAGCCTCATGTCCTTCTAGATAAATATTCAATAAAAGGTTATCTATGTGACCCGCATTCCCCTCCTCTCCAGAAAATGTTAATTTGAATAACCTCATTCCCATAACGTGGATGTTATCTGTTTGGAAGACTTCCCTTTGCTCAATAATTTAAGATGATAACACATGAAACACTGCTGATTTAAATGCTCTTGCTGTCCATATTCATTAAGCCCGAGTAGCTGGTTCTACAAAGGCTTAGAGTTGTGTGAACAGTCAGATGCATAATATATAAAAGACAAATTTGGTATGTTTTTTGCCAAACTGACACAGACCTGGTGTTGTTTGTAATTTTGGGAGGGTTGCATCATGGTGTTGATTTCATCATCTGTTTTTTTTGTTTTTTGTTTTTTTTTTTTATTTTATTTTAATGAGTTTTTCCTTCTCAGAGTATGTTTGCATGTGTGATTACAGTATGTGTGTGTGTGTGTGTGTTTCCTGATGTGGTGATTCTGCTGGTTTGGTCACCATTGTGGGATAAAAGTTGAAAACTACACCGTGTTGGGTTTTTTTTTGTTTACTGTGAGCTTTGAACTAACAAAACAGGTTAATTATTATTATTATTATTATAATTATTGTTATTATATATTTTATACAGATGTTTGTATTCTTATTTTAGATAGTGCTTTGAGCAGGACGCCAAAGAGTTTATGTTTGTATGTTTGTTGTAAGTTATGTGCCGACAATCACGGTCATGTCAAAGCTGTACCCAAGCAACCAAGTGTTGACTTTAAACAGACATTTCTGTGAACTTCAAACAGTATGAAGGTTTTTACAGTTGAATTCATGCAACATTTCATAAAGCAATAAAATATTCTAATATACATTAACTGGCTCCCTGACTGTTGAATTGTTTAGTTTACACAGGATTTTACTCTTGTCAAAAAATATCTATTTTCTGTTGCTAATATAAGAATATAAGCAGAAATATGCTTGTAAGTGTTAGAAAAAATGTACTTTTTCTGGTAAATATTGTGAATCTTCTCTTCCCACTTCTGTTGTCGCTCAATCTCCTCATTCCTGTCCTCTCGCTCCACCACAGAGAAGAGTGCTCTTCATTAATGAATACCAGAGCTGCATTCTTTTGGGTTCAACTTTCTCGGGTGGCCTGCTCTCTTGTTCTCCTCTTGCCATGAAGAGCATGCTTGACATAGATCACATTCTCATCGGGACACGTAACCCAATACATGACAAAGACAGGTTTCTCCCAGATTAGCCACTAATGCCATTTGAAATTCCTGTGTTCTGCCATACACCTTTGTTAACGGGCCGCTTTTATTGCCACCAATTTGACTCACCCCCAAGAGGTGTTTATGAACCATTTCAGGACATGCCATTGGATAGGAAGATGAGAGAATGGAGAGCTCACTTGTGTGGTATCTGTTTCAGGACAGAGCTCCCTGTCTCCTTCACACACACACACACACACACACACACACACGCAACACGCACACGCACACAAACACACACATATACACACACACACTTATGCATGAGCACACACTGTCACAAATATCGACTTGTACCAGTTTTGGGGCGGGCGTGCAACACTGACAAAGAGACTTCACAATGCAGCGGAACAATGAGGTTAATGACAATGACAAGAACAATGAATGTTATGGTGTCATCAGTGGCCACTCACATGGTTCACCAGTCATCCTACCACTGGAACACGTGTGTGAGATATAGAAGTGGCAGAGGTAGAGAGGCTTTCACACACATTGTTAGGTAAAGGGGCGTGGGGTGTGGGGGGGGGTTGAGTTTGTGTGAGTTTGGTTTGATCTGTTAAAATTAAAATCTGTAAGTGACCAACAATGAGCAGGACTTGATTTTTTTCACAAATGTTGTTAAAAACAAATTGAAAAGGGGCTTATTTTTCATATGCAAGTGTTCTGAAGGCTCCATGGTTTAATGTATTTTCTTTTCTTTTTTTTTTTAAAGCTATCCGTTAACTCATAGTTTCAACGAACTATTAAAGATCAGTTTTCTGTGCCAGTTCTGAAACATTTGCTCATCACTCTTCAAGAAAAACCGAGCAGGCAAAGTCAGACTGTATCCTGCTGTAGTTTGATTTGATAATTGGACGGGGACTGTGTTTAAACACCTCAGCATGCCTGGACTTGGGCAGAGAGGATATGAGCCGGTGAGATAGTACGGATGCTTTTTGACAGAGAGGCTTGTATGGGAAAACACAGAGCAGGCTCCGGTGGCATGCGATGCCATCAATCTTATTTATGAACTTAAAGCTCTTATCTGGTGAGCTGACTGACAACATTGTGAAGACTCGCCAACATTCCTCTGTGAATGTGAAAGGCAGCTGACAAGTTTTGACTGCATCTCTCTCTCTCTCTCTCTCTCTCTCTCTCTTTTTTCCCAGAATTTATATGATGAAGGAGGAGAGAATGTAAACAGGAGTCAGAGGTCGAATTCCTTTGTGCTCAAACATCCAAGAAAACAACATTTTCTACACTTTCTGGATCAGTTTTCCCTCCTTTCTCCGGCTCAGTCACATGGGAACTTCATACTGAACTGCAGTCACCATGAAAGGAATGGGTCTGTTGTTGTGTAAACACACAGTTCTCACAGTGTGTGTTTGTGTGCACTGCTGGGGTTCTTTTGGCCTCATCCTGATGTTTACAGTTTAACAGCACATTCCTAATAAGTTTTAGTCATTGATGTTTCAGCACGTTCAGCAAATATACTGATGGTAAGTGATGATATCAAAGTAGGAGAGTAAAGTGGCGGTTTCTGGCATGCAGACTGTCCCCACTTCACATTGGTATGGTAATTAATATGGCCTTATTCTATTTATGAGGCCAAACAAACTCAATAAGGAAATAAATCTGATAATAAATAGTAGCAATTGCACACATATCACAAGCATGTACACACACATAAAAACAAACACAAGGATACAAATGAATTCTGTGCCAGTGTGATGAGAGATTGATTGACAGGCCTCCTCGGGGCAGATACATGCAGCACGGATTAATGGGCATATGGAATAACTTGTCATATACTAGGCAAACAAAACACCCAGCACCAACGTAAATCCACAAAGTCCTATCATTTCTTCCTCTTGTCATAAAAACCTTGTACGTTTTGGGGTGACACAGAAGTTTAACTTCTGTAATGTGTCACCACTGTGTGACCTGCTGCAGAGACGGCAGTTGTGAGCAGCATTCCTTTTTATTCAGGGGCCATATGTTTAAAACCACATAGATGACCCTAACCCCCCCCCGACAGAAGAACCGCTGCAGGTTCTCCAAGATGCTTTGAACAACCTATCTGCAAAGTACCCTGAAAAACTGTACACTAAACTTTTGAAGTTGAATGGCGACACCTGCTGGAAACTTCCTAAACGTGCACAGCGCTACACATGAACACTTGGCCATTAGTTGAATCTTAAATGGGACTAAAGTGTTTTCATTTAAATTTTCTGGTCAGCAGCTGCCACAGATTTCACATTATGAGTCGTTTTCTGTAAATGGAACAGA